AAACTCCCTCCAGCCCGTCCCCCCCTCTTTTGTGAGAAGGATGTAACGTAAACCACCGAATTAAATTGGTCTCGCCTTACATATAAAATACTGCTATTCTGTGATTCCATCTAAATCGGAGTTAGGAAATTTCCCAAACTAATAATTATATACATAAAAACGCAGCACTTCGTTTATTTTCGCCCGTATTTGGAAGTAATCAAAGCCATGTAAATTAAAAGTCACGTGACATGAATAAAATACAACAAGGCTTTCTCTATTTGGTAATGCAGTGTCACTTTTATATTTTACATATAATAACAACCAACAGCTATTGCAATTATTATAATATTAGAAACCTTTACGGCAGACAAGAATATTGTAAAGTAATCTGTAACCTTACGTTAATGCATCCAGACTCACGCAAATTTAAAACACATTTTAATGCAATACACCACGCTGTGCTTGTTTAATTTTTGCATGTCAAATTTGAATTATTATGTTACATTACGGACTGAAATGAACAGGAAAAAGCCTTTATACGCCTATGCAGGTCCATAAGTAGCAATAAAAATTAAAGCCAAAACGAAAAAGTAATAGAGGCTAAATTTTTTGCAAATGAAAGTATTTGAGATTCTGTTCTTTATTCAACTAATGCATCTCTTTTAATTCAAAAACTATATAAATACTTTGACAATTTATTATAAAAAAAAGTCATTAAGACAATTTTAAAAGATGGCCTTTTCTAGCTAACAATATATACATAAAAGTGCTATTTTTACCCACGTAAAAATCTTAAAAGAAAGATTTCACTAAGCCAGCACCACAAATTATTATAGCATAAAATAGTCCCTGTCGGGAATGAAAACTCGATCTAGTTTTAATTGGACCATTTCGTTGGTGATTCTGATCCCACTATTGCTAACAATAGTGCCGATAGTATCAGGTTATTACAAATTTACATATCAAGAAACAAAATCATCAGCAAGTACACCTCGAATATGGAAGACATTTGCATACAATGATGGTACATTGCTCGCTCATATAGTTCGAAGGGATGCTGATAATAGTAGAGGCAATCAATTTTGCCTCCAACAATTATTATCACTACGAATAATTTATCCCAACAGAACTGTATCAGAACTTGATATTGACCTGAAAATTCAATCTTTCAATTATTGTCTTATTGCGCAAAATTTGGGACTGCACTTATACCCCTTACAAACCGGTTATTTTCTCGTAAATTACTTTAATGCAACAAATGTTAATGATTTCTCTACTTATGAAGAATGGGCAATGATCATTAATTGGAACGGGGTAATACTTAGGTTAGTTTAATATAATCGATATTATATCATTCGCAGCTTATCTGTTCGATTCTTTAAAATCCTCTTATATTATCAGTAAAGCGTCTTTTGGATACGCTTACACAAATCCAGTATCCGTCGTGTGGGACCCCAGCCAAACCACTATAAAAGTTAATATCTCACCTGAGAAAGGATTTTTGCGGCTTTCTGCGATAAGAAATACCACAAATGTTGCATGGGCTCAATATTTAATGTAGATTTAGACTTTATTTAGATGTTATTTTGATTAAGATTAATATAACATCTGAATTTATGGTTATTTCTTTAATTAGTGATTCCAATCATCAATTCCAACAACTTTCGAACGGTACAATTGAAAACTTCTCTGTAAGTAGCTTAATAACCATCGCGACAGTTGATGAAGGTTATGCTATTGTTTACACAAAGTCATATGATACAACTAATTCGAACGATCCACGAATTATTCGTGCGGCGTTGTACATTCAAACTATTGGCTATGGTGATGAGTCACTAGGACCTCCGTTGCTTCTCTACCAGGTTCCAATTCCAAACATTTTATTGAAATTGTCATCTTGCGACATTTTCCCTGTTAGTGGCAGGCAAATTTGTACATTAACCATGATTCAAACCAATGTTACAAATAATACAACCGACGAAAGACAATCTATCAGTAATAGTAACACTTATAATGCGAAAATTTCATTTTTGTCAAGTGGCTCTGTTATTGAATTTACACCAATATCCGTACCTAATGTCGCTAATATCACAGAATGGAGTATGTATTCATTACCATATGGAGGCTATTTGTTGCTTGCTCCAACATTAACACCAAATAGTGTAAATACTTACGCATATGCCTTTGATGAATACTCGGACACTTGGCAACCTTGGGATCTTCCAGATCCTATTCCTTCAAACTTAGTCGGTTCTTTATATATTCTTCCCAATAATTCCATCGCTTTTGCTCAGCCAGAATCTAGTAATACTTGGTCATATCTCATTTCAGACATACCCAAATTTACCAAAAATACGGATAATGGTTATTCTAATGTTCATGTCAATATTACTAGCCCTAAAATTGGCAGCGTGATTTCAACAACAACGAGAAATATTACCATTAAACTTTATGACCCTGTGGAACTTTCCTCTGGAAGTATTTCAATCTATCAAACTAATAATAATCAAAATGACATCCTTCGGCAAACAGTTTCTGGAAAAAATGTTGACTTTTGTTCAATATCAAATGATGGATTGACGGTAACCATTAAAATTCTCGATAGCACTTTTAGTAAACCAAATGACGTGTTTTATGTAAAAGTTGATAATAATTTTGTAAGGAGTAGAACTTTTAAAGAACCACTTATTGGAATTCATGAAAACATTTGGAAATTCAGCACAGGTAATCTTTTATTAAATGTTATTATGAAGATGGACGTGCAACCTATAAGATTGCAACCCTACCCTCAAAAAAAAAACCTATGAGTACTGTCAAGGGAAAACCTGTCATCAGGCTTTCAATTTTACCTTGTACCGGACACAATCAATAATAAATAAATGTGCATTGAGTCGAATACAAAATATAATTGAAAGCCCAATGACAAGTTTTCCTTTGACAGCACTCATTTTATGTGTTACTATAGAAAGATTGCAACCCTGGTTACAAATATCTTTTTTTGAGGGTTTATCTTTAATTATTATTATCAGTTATTGTTGAAATAAATGGATAACTTAAATTTTTATCCGTTTATCAGAAAATCATGAAGAACCATTTGCAGGTAAATTTGGCTATTAACTTAATGTTTAATTAAAGATTATATGAATATATTATATAGTATTATTTACGTATAGACACAGTATCTGGTTTGTTACGTCTAACTCTGGACGGAACAGCGCATTATGAAAGTCTTAATTCCAGTAGCAAAAACGAATTCTTTTCCGATCTTCAAGATGAAATTTCAAAAATTCTTCCCGTTTCTCCTTCGCGTTTAAGTTCTAACAAACATGTTCAGGTTGATCTTTCTATTAATTCAGGCCGACATATATTCTTATTACTTAATATCAAACAAACAAAAGATAAAAATGAAAGAAGTGTTGCATCACTTATCCGAGATTTAAATACAATGATTCGTAATAAAGAAATTACATCAATTGGGTTAGGCAACACTGTTAAATATCTAGATGAAACTTATGGGTTTGTTCCATCGCGTAAGTGCTATTTTTTTTTTTTGTTTACAAAAACTTAACCAAAATTCATTAAACTCAAGTTACTTTATATTAATCTAATTTAGCAAATTTATGGGATAAATACAAATTTGAGCTGTTAGCAGTGTTTTTGATAGCTTGCTTTTTGGTGGCCCTTTTCATATTGGCTCGTAGGAGAAATAAAAAGGGACACAATATTGCTATTTTACGACTTGGCCTTATTTTATTTGACATTATCGCAGATATTTTATTCTTAGTTAATAATGGTAAAGATGTCGAGTTTCTATATATCCCCAGGTACGATAAAGTTTTTAATCATATATTTACATGAATCATGTCAAATAATTATAAGAATAATATTTTTTATGTAAAATCTTATAGTATAATATTCCTGGTAGTTCCAATTTGCATAAATACCATCTTAGCTTTTACGATTATTATAAAGGAAAACACACGTCCTGAGTTTTTCTCATGGTTTGTTCGAAACGGAAATGTTACATCAATATTTACTATATTGGCTGGAACAGATATTGAAGCATTAGTCATACTTAAATCAAATCTTGCAGGATTTGCATCTTTCCAAGCACCTTTTTCAGATAAAGCTCAATCAAAAATATTTTGGGGAACATGTTTGAATATCTTCACAGAAGATATACCTCAAGCAATCATTCAGGTAAAGATTAATTTGCATAAGATGTTTCACGATTTTGAAGCATAAGTTCAACAATCCATTTATAATATTAGATCTTATATCAACAAAACACTATCGTATATGATATTATTCCACTTCTTACCCTCGTCTCATCCTGTCTAAACCTGACGATAAATATGGTTGGAAGATTATATCAAACCATTAGTAGAATCCGACAAAGAAACCAAAGACAAAAATATCCTAACATTAGCGAAACGAAATAGAATTTTGTAAGTTCCCAGCCCTTCCATTGATCTGGGTAATTATTTTTGGATCCAGACCATAATGTTATTACGTCATATATAAAATTGGTCCGGGTTCAAAAATAATTACCCATCTACATCAACTGATTACACAAATGTGTGCTTGTAAAACGTGAATGATCGATAGTATAATGATCAGAAATAAAAACCAGAGAAGTAACTATATCTCAGAATGTCATAATAAAAAATGACTTCGAATTAGTAATCAGAAAGTAATTAGCAAATACAGTCAGACCTCTCTAAATGCATTGTGGCGGGACCATATGCAAAAATTGAGTTAAACGTGCAGTTAGAGAGGTACTGCATTTAGGGAGGTAAAAATCTATAAGTGTTATATTAGTTGGGCCCAAGAGAAGACGTGCATTTAGGGAGGCTTTTCATATAGCGTGCATTTGGGAGGTTGCATTTACGGTCTAACTGTAATTCAAAATATGCAATCAGGAAACAATTATAGTTAGGAAATAATCAGAAAATAATTAAAAAATCAGAAAATTATTAGAAAATAGGAAATAATCAGGAAATAATTAAAGGTAACTAATTCAAAATGTCGTAACCAGTAAATAACATCGATTTAGAATAACATTAATGATAATTCTGTAATTAATAATTGGTAACTTTAATTCAAAATTTTATTTATCTAGAATTTTAATAACAATAATAATAAGTAACTTTTTAATCCAGAATGCAGGGTCACGGAAATAATGTGATTTAGTGTGATTAAACAAAATCACACTAAATCACATAATTTTATATCACTTATACTGTATTACATTAGTATCGCGTGCATTTTCAATATCGTAATATTTTAAAATGAATAATAAATTATAACATTCTAGTAGTATATTAATTTATATAGTATACTAAAACACAATAAATAAATTCGTCTTTAAAATAAGGTAGCTGCGCAACATAGTTGCGCTAAAACCAGGAACGGATGTCCAGTAGATTGTATTCGAAGTTCTAATAATTTATAATTGATGAATTATACTTATTGATCTAACCTCATAAATTTTAGTTATTGTATGGATATTAAGTTACACTTGGGTTCGTATTCTATGGCCTTCGACCACAGATTTAAATATGAGCCCGAGTATAACCTGGTTATTCAATATACCCATACAATAACTATCTTATTGCACAGTGTCTGAAGTACAATCCCGTGCAATACCATAGCCAAATGAAAACGCACTGGTTGTTATATAAGACCCGTGCAATAAACATATATACAGCATCTCTCAAAAATATCTTACTATATGAAGTATTCTTTACAGATAAGTCTATTTTTCAGATAATCAATTCTTAAATGTCTATGAAACAAACCGTTGGCAAAATAAACTGTTCACAAAATAGTCTATCTGTGAATTGATATTCTTAAAATAAACTTGTTTTGTTGGTGAAATAAGCTATCAGTAAGAAGAATTTGTCTATAAGGTGAACTGTCTGTGAAACAGTTTTCTGTAAATAGGATTGTCTATGAAATGATTTTCTGTGAAATAAGACAAAGTGATGATCTACAAAGTGAGTAGTACCAATTAATTAAAGATTAGTATTTGAAATGTTTAAAAATTATAAGTTTCATTTATTATTCATGATTCCACAGAGGGTTGATCTTTAGTATAGGTGGGCATATATAATTATTATACAATTATAATATATATAACTTAACTATTTTGAACTAATTTAAGTAATTTCATAAATTATTAGAGTCAGTGTTAAGGTTAGGATTTAAATTAGCTCAATTAGTTAGGTTTTATATATAATAATCTTGTAATAATTTATATATGCCCACCTATACTAAAAAAGATCCTGACAATTAATCAAATCTCTAAAGGTAGACAGCTGTCAAGTCACATGTGGTCCAATTACAAATCAGATCACTTTAATATGGGCAGACGTAGAGTTTAATGGTATGGACATAATACCTATAAGCACTCAAACTATCTCGAACTCTAGTGATCTTCTCAATTTATCAATTAACTTTAAAATCTTCTTGTTCATTGTGACAGTGAAAAATAATACTACTTTTAAAAGATATGTTTTACCATTAAAAAACAACTAAAAATGAAGGCTACTCGAAAGAAGGTGTAGAAGATTTGGTCCAAAAACCAAGAGTACTACTGCCACTAGAATCCGTGGTTTAGATAGTCTTTATTTAATTATAATTCTTATTTACCTAGTTACACACTTGTTTCCCTTCAGTTACATGAGATCAATGGGTTTATATACATTACAGATTACATTGGGGTTTTACTACTACAATTATAATTATACAAACAATATGACTAATTAAAGTTTCAGGAGGGATTCAATGACTAACGATGAGTAATCCATACTCATCTGAATAACTATAACTTTAGTGCCCACCATTCAATACGAGTGGCACCTTACTATTGTTCTCAATGGAGCATCGCTTCGAGCCAAAATCGAATTAGATGTCTTCACTTTCGTTGATCAATAAGCATTTAAGTTCTGAGTCATATGGCTTGAGTCACATTTTCTGGTGACTGCAGCTAGGTTACATTTCAGCGGCACATCGTTTATTGCGGTATAACAGAATTATGTCGACAGTATTTGTTACAGTTTGTGGTTTTATGCCAATTGTTACAGCAAGTGTCGTGTTAAACTTATAAATGAAAATCAATGCACATATACTATATGATACACACTGTTAGCATTTCACTATCGAACTAAAGCCCTAGAACACAAATGCGCAGTTCATAAGGCAATCCGAAAGTATCCGTAAAATCAAGAAAGAAAGATCTACGATCACGCTGACCAACAAAATGCAAGAGTTTGTGTACGTACACCATCGAAGATGGCTATAAGCCATACTCTTCGTTTCACTTCCGTAAAACTCTGTTCCTGGTATATGTAAAAAAATCAAATAATTTTGGACAACTAGAATATCAAACAACAAGAAGCAAATATAAGTACCGAAAAAATCAATAATCAGATTTTATTATGCTGTATGCAGTTGTCTTGGTATAGTAATAGTCAGTTAAGCCGGTTTTTAAGTATCAGCTTAGTCTATAAATTTAAGTCGATTACAAACACTAGTGACAGTAGTCTGTCAAAACTAGACGGCGAAGCTGTCACATGATCATGTGCTAGTTTTACTATAATAAAGTGTACTATTGTATCGGTATGGAAATTAATAAAAAGATGTACATATGACATTAAAATTCTTAAAAAAAAAATCATACGATGATAAAGTTATCAACAGAAATTTCAGAAATTATTATTTCAATTTTTTCACTATCAATTCTTTCTGTGATCTCACGCACATTAATCGCTTTACTGGTGTACATGCTGTTAGGATGTTCCGATTTTACCGAATTTGTTTTAAAATTATAAATTTTTCTTCCGTCATTCATACCAGAATAATTGTGAACCCAACTAGTTATTGTTTTAATAATTTCGTGGGCATTAGGTCGTTTATTTGGATCTGAATCCATACATTGTCTTGCCAGTTCAATGTAGCAAGCAGGAGTTCCATTAGCAAATTCTGGTCGTTTTCCATTAAGAATACTCAACGCAAGAATATAATCAAATGGTTCACCGTCAAAAGGTCTCTGTCCTGTTGATATTTCTGACATGATCACTCCGAGGCTATAAATATCTACAGCTTTTGTGAAGTCTTTTCTGTCTTTTCTAACTAAAACTTCTGGAGCGACAAATGGTAGTACACCATAAACAATATCTTCAGAGATATTTCTGTAATTCATAGATGATCCTAGATCTGAGATGTAAGATTGAATATTTTCACAATCGTGCTGATCTATCAAAATATTGCCACTATGAAGATCAGTATGAATATATCCTGCTCTATGAATCTCATACAAGTCTTCTGAAATGTTTAAAAGTATTTTTAATTTAATATGCCAAGTGAGCTCCTGAAAATTAGTTTCTAAAAACTTACTAAGGCTTCCATAACGAGCATATTGAAATACCATCAAGTATTCGTTCGTTTTTATATTATGAGTCAATCCATATACTTTAAGCTTACTGCCAAATTTACTGCATTTAAAATGATTTTTGAATTCATCCAAAAAATTAAGGCCAGATAATGTTTTAAGAGCAACAAAATAAAGGTCAGATAATGTTTTAAAAGCAGCAGTACTTAATGGTTTATGATTTCTTATAACAACATCGAATGCTTTTTGTACTCGTTTACTACCCAACCACTTCGCAGAATACACTGTACTAAATCCTCCCTCGCCGATTTTTTCAATGAAATTCAAGTTCTCATACGGGATCCATTCTATCATGTCTTCAAAGGCAGTAATTTTAAGTTGAAAATCTTTTAATACAAAATCAATATCCTTTTCCCCACTTGTCCATTCTTGAATTGTTCTAATAGGATCACATAATAAACACCATCCGTTCTGCGTTTTTCTCTTATTACAGTATTCACATTCCCCATATCTATCTATTAGAAAATCATTATAAACATCATCACCATTATCATATTTCATAAAATAACTAATACAAACAATTCTATGAATTATCATCATAATAAGTATTATCATACATAAAATATTAATATATTTAGACGATGAGGATCTAGAATAGGTTGATAAAGCAAAAACAAAAGCATAAATGCCAGTGTTTAGCATTTTGGTATAAATAGCGAAAATAACTATTAAAGAAATAGTATCAAACCAAGAATAAAAAAAAAACATAAGAAAAGTGATTACAAGAATGACAATGTAAAAAATATGAAGACGAATATAATCATAAGAAATATGAATAATGATGAAAAAA